ATGATGCAAATCAGGCCATATAATACTGTCATTGTTAAACTCAATTTAACTAAAACAAATTTTGAAATGTTTATAGTTTAATTACTCTTTTTAGGGTACAAGAGATATATACTTACCTAAAGAACAAAGATTTAATGTTTCTGCTGTGCTTCTCTACAATATCTCCTAGTATTTTAAGGCCATATATGCTAATAATTTTCAAATATTATCCACATGTATACTGAGTCAGAACTCAGTAAAAAGTCCTAAATAGCTGCAATGAGATAAATTGTTCCCAATGTTAATATAAGGAGTGACCTGGTCATTTCAGCTTTTCTTAAGACTAAATAAGACCTATTTATACATTTTTTATTTTTTTGTAGAGATTTAAAAATTTTTCCATATTTTCAAAATTTAAAAATAAGATTAACTCTAAAAATCAAGGAAAACTACAAATTGTGGGGATCAAATGAAATAACAAATAAAATGCTTTATAAACTATTTTTTTAAAAAGAAGTACAAATCAATTCTTTGTGAAATAAAACCATATAGAAATAAGTACAGGATTTATATAACAATTAAGTAACCATTATTTATGTAATTACATGACTATCAGGAAAACTTTGAATACGTCCCCTTAGATGAAGAAATCTTGAGGAGAAAAAAGATGGCAACAATGTAATCATCTTATCATAATTACCATTTATTGAGCTGCTTCTATGGGTTAAGCACTTCATAAACATTATCTAACTTAAACGTCACAGCAACCTATAGCAGATTTTAACCAAAGCTTAGTGAGGCCTTCATTACACTTAAGTGGTAAAAAAAAAATAAGAACAAAGGCCTGAATCCAAAGTCTAAGCATTTAACCACTACTTACACAGTGTGGTGTATTATGATTGAGAAGTGATTATAGGCAAAAACACCACAAAGCCTAAAATCTCAAATCTGTCTTATTTGTTGATGTACATTTAGTACCCAACACAGTGCCTAGTACATAGGAGTCCTCAATAAATATTTGTTTTATTTGTAATGAAATTAGCATAGTTCCTACAAAACATTTAAGTGCCTAATGAACAGTTATTAATGATGGTGATGATGATGACAATGATGATGGTGAAGTAGGGAAAGGTAAAAGGGTCAACCATCAGAGATTTCAACACAGCTGAGTTTCAAACTCTCATAAAATCACATTAGAATGACAATATTCGCATTATGTAAAAACCAACTAGGTCACAAAGGAAACAGACTAAAGCTAAATAACAGTCTACATGAAGATTTATCATAGGTACACATTGCATTAGAGCCCAATTCCTTTGTATCTCATTTATTTTGGATTCACATTTTAGTAAAATGTGCTAGTGCTATCAAATATATTAATATATATCTCAACAGCAATTTTTCTTATAATTCAACCATTATTCCATATTTTTTCATCCATTTTTCAGTTTTGTTCCCTTTCAAAGTCTATTAACAGAAAAACCATTAATTATGATAAGATGATTCAAAACCACTGATTTTTTAATTAAAAGCAAAACAGAATGTCTTTCCAAACTTCTTAAAATGATATTATAAAAGGCTTAAGAATTTCACTAAAATATTATTAATATTAGCTACAATTTACTAAGTTCTAGTTATTACTAGGTGCTTTTATATATTATACCTAATTCTTAAAATAATCTGGTAAATTAGTTAATATTCATATTTTACATGGGAGAAAATAAGGCTGGAAAAGCTAAATAACTTGCCCAAAGGTATAAAATCATTATTAAGTGTCAAAGCTATGATCTGAACCTAGGTCAGCCTGACTCCAAATCTTCTGGTCTTTCCAATTGCTTCAAAACGCCTACAGAGAACTGGGTGCCTTTTGTTTTATGTGATTTTGACTGTAGCAGGTTCTTAATTCTATAAATTACACAATCAGCTTGGACGACAAGATGGACTAATATACACATAAGTTACATAATAAACATAAAGATATAAAAATAAATACAGGGGAAATCTGAAAGACTAGCAAAATGACATGGGTAAAATTGTGAGAATGGATCACAGCCATCATATAGTTTTCATAAAATTTTGGTTTATATAGTCTTTATGTCTCAAACCTATCACAGGAATTATTTTAAGGTTAGAGTACAAGCAAATTTTTTAAAAACATCACATCTTTTAAAATAAATGTTTACTCTTCCAAATATTAAATCTGATATATGCTTATTGTAGAAAATCTGAAAAAGGTAGAAACTGTTCACTAAAACAGTAAGAGCTCCACTTAAAGACCATTAAAATTTGTTTTTATTTTATATAATATACATGTGTATATATGTCTATGTAGTTTCTTTAGGCAAAATTGTTATAAATATACTTTTCCCTTTTTTACTTAACATGAGTTATAAAGATTTTCTATCATCAAATATTCAAATAATTTTTAATAATTACCCAATGTCTCACAGCATAAATGTGCCACAGTATATTTAACAATTCCCTTATTGTTAGTTAATTCTCTTACTATCATAACTAATACTATGTGAATATTCTTATATCCTAATACTATATGAGCACTATATGAAAATCTTTATATTTTATATATTCTAAAGTAATGGCTACTATTCCCTTAGAGTGCTTCACATTTTACTTAATATTTTATTTTTAAAATCTATAGAGAGATTTTTGTATCCTATTTGCTATTACAATGCTTAGTTCAGATGTTTTTATAAGTATTTCTTTTACTGAGGAATAGTTTAGTTTCTTAAACATGTTTATTCTGCTTAAATATATTATATTTATGTATGTGTGCATATTTATAACATACTTTGCCAAATATATTTAAATATATTTTTTATTTTGAATATAAAAATGAGCAGTGATAGAAACAAATATCCATGCTCGTGTGAATTATTTGTTCTTTTGTATAAGGAAAAAAAAATTTTTACCTGTAATCATAGTCCTATACTGTTTCTCTTTCTATTATGATACTGACATGGACTTTTTATAGTTATGCTTTGCTTTTTGACTGTACCTCCTACTGATCAGTCAGAAGATAGCTTATTTAACACTATATATATAAAATGAGAATATGAAAAATTTTAAGAGTCCACCAAGGGTCAATTATTGAATTTTTTGTTTCAAACCAATGGCTTTCTTAAGTAGTTCATTATTTTTTTATTTTGACATTATAACAATAATTCTAATGTTACAAGTAAAATATCTTAAATCTTTTAGAAAGAAGGTAGATTGTGAAACATTAAGTAAAAATATATTTTGAAAATGTATATTTTAAAAAAACTTTGCAGGATTTTCATTTTGTGTCATTTTTGTAACTTAAGTAGTTAGGCATATCTCTTTTAACTAGACTGCTCTGTTCCATAGAAACTAAATAGCACTGTTATTTTCATCAATTTAGGAGGCAATAAAAATACATTAAACATCTTTCCAAGATTTAACATTTATTAAAATAATATTTTTGTTATTAATGAGAAACATGCTTAATAAGATTACCAAAATCAAAATCCTTCCATTTTAGCATGTATGATTCAAACTGTCCAATCCAAGGGAACCCTTAAATATATATCAATAACTAAATATTTGAAGTATATTCTTAGCTATAGTATACCAAAATTAAAGAGTAAATATTATTGCTTAATGAGTTTCCCACTACAAGAGATAAATGGGCTATGCATATATATTAATTCATGATTTTCAATAAATTATGACAGCCCAAATATTATTAAATTACTTTGTAAGACATATGAAAAGTTAAATTATGCAAATACTTCAAAACAAACGTACTTGTTGTATTAATAATACTGTCCTAGCAATTAGTATATGTATTTGATAATAAAAAGCCATGAAACTTTCAAATTGTTCTAAATTTATATTTCAACTATTCATTTTAACATATTATTAATTTTCCTTAAAATATATTACTCCATAGTTTCGAACTAAAAAAGAAACAAAAACATAATGGTAGTTTAATATTACCAAAAAAGCAACTATCTAGTATTCAGCTGAAGTATTTATTTATGATCATCTTAGTTATTAATACTGATGTTTAGTTCTATTTTCTATATTAATGTTTTGATGACAGGCTATCCTAGTTATATTTCTGACCTAAAATAAAAGAATTATTTCAAATATGTAACCAGGTTAAGTGACTTTAAAGCATGAATATAACCCCAGACTAATGACAAAATACAATTGCTTCTTAAAAAGCACTCCGATTGATATAAAAATGTTAAAGTAAGTGATCTCTAAAATGCCTCCAAATGCTAATGTCTACTATTCTATGAAATTTCTCTTTCCTTAACACGCGAAAACTGTGTGAGAGAGACCATCATAGTCACGTGCACAGGTGGAGATCATAGACTATTGAGAATCATCCAGTCATGTCTGTAACATATCACAACTATTTTAAAAAATTTCTCCTTGCAAAGACCTGTGAGTAAAGAAAGACTCCAAAATATATTTAAGGTAGTCATTCATAATCTAAAACTCTGGCAATATTTCACTTTAATCTCAGGGAAAACATTATCTCTATCAGCATCTATATCACAGTTGAAAACTTATTAACTGCACAAAACAGATTTTTGAATCAAATGTAGGTTTCCATTGGCAATGAATATATGACTATCTTCATATAACAGAGAAGTATTTCCTCTCAACGAGCTAAAACAATAAGTGGTATTTGAACTGCTGGTTGAAAGGTAGAGGCACTGGTAATCATTATTTCCCCTTGTTTGTTCAGGCCCTTCCAACAAAACAAACAACCTTTTTGTGATTGGATTGACATGGTGTTAACAATGCATTTAATGCCCAAATCAGTATGAATACAGGTAAAGCTCTCACTAATACCAGTACCAGGATGTTAAAGCCACCTATTTTCTAAGCAGCCAAAAAAAAAAAAAAGGGACTGAGCTTACCCTCCTTTGGCAAATAAGACAGTATGCTAGTATTCACCAAGATACATCATGTAATAACCTTGTATGTGATTCTTAAGGCCATATGTTAATACTCATCTATTATACCTGCTGTCTTTTCAGCGATTTTAGCTTCTGTTGTTTTCTCTTGGAGGTCCAGCTTAAACATTAGTTTTTTCTGTTCTTTGTCTTCTTCAGTCAGTTTTTCTTGAAGCTAAAACCCAATGAAGAAAACATAGATTCTTATCTGACATATGTCTTAGACAAATACAATTAATTCCAAAGTAAAATTTTGGGTGTTTTCCTAAATTCTCATATATTATACTTAACTGCCTACGTAACCCTAGAAAAAATATTTCAGGTGGCAAGATATTTTATAAATAATTACCTATAATGACATAGAAATTATAAAAACACTCTAATATATACTTAATTTATGTGTACAGGCAAATGAAATTAAGAGGAATAACATTATTATTAAAAATAAGGCCGGGCGCTGTGGCTCATGCCTGTAATCCTAGCTCTTGGGAGGCCGAGGCGGGCGGATTGCTCAAGGTCAGGAGTTCAAAACCAGCCTGAGCAAGAGCGAGACCCCGTCTCTACTATAAATAGAAAGAAATCAATTGGCCAACTGATATATATATAAAAAAAAAAAATTAGCCGGGCATGGTGGCACATGCCTGTAGTCCCAGCTACCAGGGAGGCTGAGGCAAAAGGATCGCTCGAGCCCAGGAGTTTGAGGTTGCTGTGAGCTAGGCTGACGCCACGGCACTCACTCTAGCCTGGGCAACAAAAGCGAGACTCTGTCTCAAAAAAAAAAAAAAAAAAAAATAGCCATTGCAAGAACAATCTCATCCACTTTTTTGTCTTAAAGCAAAAGATTTGAAAGGGATTCTTCTAATAAAATAACGGACAGCACAGCTTTACAGCTTCTCTTAGTAAGTCCAATATTTTTTGAAACAAAATTAATCAAGATAATAATCTTAATATCTGATACAAATCTCCCTTTGAGGATGCTATTCCATCATATTCCATTTAAATTGGCACTGGCACCTGACTCATAATTGGCATGTAATAAATAACCACTAAATGAAAGTACAGAAAACATCTCATGCTCTCATACAGAATCTTTCCAAATGTTTTTATAATTCTTCCCTAGGCTTTTGTCAATTGTGTTGTTTTCCTTCAGACATGATCAACATTCCTAACATCATGCTTCAGTTTGATTAGGTCAAACAACAAGAATATTAAATCAGAAGTACACAGAGGTTAAAAAAAAGAAGGCACAGAAAATGAACATTATTTAATAACATTATTTACTGCTCACAGGCATATAGCTAGAATAAGAGTCAGAAAAGAAGATAAAACACAGCATGAGAAATTGGAATGGACAAAATACAACAGTATAACACAAAGTAAATGATAATATTGCAAAGCCTTGCTATTTTAGCATTTAATTACATATATTATTGAGGTGAAACACAAGGCACAGATAGTAATAAAAAAGAAAAAAGTTAGGAAAGTAACATGAAACCAGTGCATAATATTTCTCATTCTCCATAGCGCTAAAATAAAGTTTTACTATAGTAAAACTGAATCTTTTTTTTTAGGTACCTATGCAAGGTACCAGGGGGTTTATGAAAAAGTAAGTGATATCATAGACCAGCACAGCAGAAAACAAAAAAAATTCTTTTCATAGCCAATCCCTTAGCTCAACCATACCCTGATGGTAAGATATGGCAACAACATATAACTACTGTTAAAAGTTTAAAGCATATAATAAAACTAAATTATGATGGGTAATAAAATAAATTTAGAAGGTCAATAGCTAAAAGCAATCTGTACCATTATCAGACTTTCTATGTCATACCTTTTTGTTGCTTGTTCTGAGAATATCCAATTCTTTTAGCAGAAAGGCTATTGTCTTCTCTTTGTGTAAGTCTGAAGTAACTTGACAAGAAATCATACATTCATAATGCAAATCATTACTTCTATGTTCTATCAGGCTGTAATAAAAAACCATTAAACAATATATTATATGATTTCTACTATAAAAGATCCATAAATTTTATACTCTAAATGGGGGAAACAAATTTAAACAATAAATAGGTAAGGGTATCTAATTTTAAATTTCTCTTTTTAGGCACTGTTAAGAAAATACTATGGTTGAAAAAAATATACATCAATTCCACAGAGAGATGCCAATCTATCAAGTGAGAGAGTTAAATTTGTCTGAAAATGGGAACAATATTAGATAATTTTTTAGTTGAAAGAATATATTTTCATAATTAAATTAAAAGCATTAAAAATCAAAGCCTATTCCTGTGATATTTAAGGTTAAGTTAAACAGAAATTTTTGAGATTTTTATGCTATTTGAGAACAGTATTAACTTGTAAGCAAGTATTATAGCATTAAGGAAGGGAAAAGAAAAGAGATGGGCTATTTTTGAAGACACTAAATTTGTAAGCATAGGTTAAGTTTTGCAGTGACAAAGAAGAAATTAAGCAGTGAGCTCTGGGACAGTCAGTGCAGCTCTATTTACTGTGTATATCTCTTGCTGTAATTATACTAGATTATCTCATAATCTGTTTTTAGGCCCATCTCTACTACTGTCTCCATGTGGTTATAAAAATGTTTATCCCCATTTCATTCATCTATGCCCCTCAAAATGTACTCCAATCTGCACCTTAGCAAGAATCTGACTTCTAAGGGATAGGAACACATTAATATATCTACTTCATTATATGTTAATGTTCATTAATATATCTACTGAATAGTTTGCAAGTAAGTAGAAATAGCAGTTCCTATGTAAAACTCTCTTAAAGTAATATTCTATAAAATATGATTTTGTCTAGACTGAAATTATATTCGTCATTGTAACTTTCAAAATCTAACAATATTTTCAAAGCACATGATTAATGATGAATTATCAAAGTACCTTAATCTCATAGATAAGAGTCTCAAGTATCAAAAATTCAAATCCCTTCATGAGTCAGGTAGGCAAAAGTGATTGGGTAAAAGCTATAGAATGTAAAATAATAAGGAAAGCAAATGGTTGAGTACAATGTCTTCTAAAAGCATTCAAATTCATTTAAACAAAAAACAGTGCTGACCAAAATCAAAAGACATCCTTGGGCTTAACTTGTCCTGGAGCTGCCAGTTTTTGGCTCTGATGAATGATATCCCAAACTAATATCATTTTAACAATTATTTCCACATCCATAACGAAAGGTCACAGAAAATAATACTGAACAAGAAACTTCATTGCCTTTCTTCAAACTCACCTGGTGCTTTCTCACTTAGCTATCTAGATACATATCAATACCATGGAAACAGTAAAAAAAAACCCTGAAAGATGCCTCAAATTCTAATAAGGTAATGGCATGTCAAATTTAGCCCACACTACAGAGAAGTAAAGAAGGAAGTAAGGGAGCAAAGAAAGAAAAGAGGAAGGAAGAAAAAGTTCTCCCAATTCATACTTTCTAAATCTAAGGCTGCAAATACTCACTTGGATTTTTCAGTAGTGCAGTAAGCCATCTCATCATCTGGATAAGGACTGATGACTTGAGAATTCCTTGATCTCTGCTCCAGCAGTTCTGTGTTCTCATATGTGACTTCACTAGGTAATTCATCAGATTTCTGATGCATACTTCCCTCAGAATTCATAGTCAGTTGCTCATCTGGCTGTGTACTTTTATTAGTTCTTCCTATAGACTCTCGTTGAAGACAACTGTGGGCTATCAAACAAAATAACACATGATATATAAAACACCATATCTACATATTCAATAAAATGAATATTTTTGTGGAAATAAATATTCTCATAGCTTTAAACATATACTTACTAGTCTTACTCCTACTGTAATCAGATAAGCATGTACAGTGTGGTTTTTGCCATCGATATTTCCATTGGCAATAGATATCTAGGATAGTGGTTTACAACATTGGCTGCACCTTGGAATAGCCTATGGAATTTTTTTTAAATTCCTAAAACCCAGCCCACACCTTATATTAATTAAACCAAAAATCTCTAGGATTGGGACCTAGTCTGTACTTTTGAAGCTCCCCAAATGATTCTAGTCTACACTCAAGGCTGAAAAATCATTGATTTGAAGGTATAATTTTCAGGATTATTTTTTTCTAGATTTCTCAAAATAGGACACAGTAAGTTAAAGATTATAGTTAATGATAACGTACATGGAACTCTGGTGTCAGACTGCCTGGGTTAGAATTCCAGCTTTGCTAAGTGTATAACTTTGGGCAAGATATTAAACTCATCCATGCCTCAGTTTCTTCTTTGTAAAATGGAAATATAATAGTTCTTTGAGAACTAATAGTTCTTGTGAGGAATTTTAAACTTCAGTTATTATTTTTGAAACCATCATTGTAATATTAAAATGGATACAATATAAAAAGAATTATTTCTAACCTCCATTTTATCAGATGTATATGTTACAGAATCTACTTCATAATGTCTATCTCACAAAAATTATCTTAACCTATATCTAATAATGGCAATTTCAAAGAAAGAGTATATATTTAATGATATAGTAAAGTTTTGGGGAGAAAATGACACATACATACACAAAATAAACCCATTCACTAATAAATCAGATCAACAGGCACAAATACTAATTGTAACTAGTACTTTATTATTCCCAGAAGTAATAATTCTTGAACTTTAAAAAGCATATGAATGTCACCTGCTTTTTGGCAATGCCTTCTTCAACCTGCCAAATTTAAAATCCTTTTGAGGCAGATTTAGAATAAAAGTAGTTTTAGAATAAAAAGAAAATAGGGGCACTTATAAATAAGGTATCTTTCAAAAAATATTCTTTAAGGAAAAATTCTTTGCTTATATTATATAAATGCTGAAATTAGGTATAGCCAGTTATAAACTCTAAGTCCTGGGAATTATTTTTGTTGGTAGCTGGAAGCTAGATCAGAAATCATTTGTTTTTGCTAAATTACTCTTGATTTTACTTTGAAGGAAAGAACTAGAAGAGGGAACGTGCTGTCATAATGATGTACTATGAGATAGCTACGTAATTTCAATATTATATACTGTTTTAATTTAAACTTTGGCAATTTTAGGAAAATACATCTTACAACTGAAGACTACTTAGTAGTTCTTAACCTCTCAAAACTCTTACTTGTTGGTTTGTTTTAGATGTTCACCATGCCACTTTTATAGAATTAGCTGGTATTAGTAGAATGGAACCCTCAAAATCTGAAGGAAGAAATTTTATTAATGTAAACAGACACTAAGGAAACCCTCTATATCATTAACAGACCATGCTTTTTAACACTAACATATGACTTTACAAGTAATTCAAAGGGAAAAGAATCTTAGTTACTGAAAGCAGTATCAAAATAGCAAAAATTGCCCCTAGGGACATATAAAAAAACTATTAGAGCGTATACTATTCTCCAGTTTATGAAGGTCAAATAGTCTTCAAAGGAAAAAGGATGAGCCATGCAGCATCACAACCTATAAACGCCTCCAGCTCCCGTTGACAATGTCACATCAACTGCTTCAGACTTTTAAGTCCTGACTCTTAGACCTGTTTGAGACCAAATTTGCCATTGTCTACAACTTGTCTCATGTTTTCACCTTAGTATTTACATGTCTAGTTCAGTATCTTTCTTCTTCCAGCTTTTTATTCCTAACCTGATGTTTACTCCATCCCTGATATCTATACTTGCTATTTATTTACCCATTTTACATCTCTCTTTCTTTAGCTTTAACCTATTGTCAAATTTGGGGATCCTTTGAACTCTTAGTAAATCATGGTTATTTCACCTGTGACCATGCTGTCTTCTCCAAACTCAGAGCAGATGTGGGAGGTTCCCAGTAAAGATCTCTTTGTTGATTCCTCTTGGATCTTAGTAATTATAATCCCTTGAAGTATTATTAAAATGATCAGTTTCTGACATACGTCTGGATTTTCATTCTAAACTTAATTTTAAATGCTTAGTATTTTAAAAGAACCCATACTGTGTGATTTTGTTCTATTTGGGGATATTTCCAATTTTGTTCAGTAGTAAAAGCTTTTGTCTGTCTATTTTCAATAGATCTAGGGGGTACAAGTGTTTTTTGTCACATATATGAATTATATAATATTGAAGTCAGAGCTTGTAGCATACCCATCACCAGAACAGTGTACACTGTACCTAATAATATTTCTCCTTCATCTCCCTCCCACTCTCCCCCTTCTTAGTTTCCAGACTTCACTTAGAATAATGGTCTCCAGTTCTATCCATATTGCTACAAAAGACACTATTTCTTTCCCTTTTATGGCTGTGTAGTACTCCATCATATATATACATACACACATATGTGCGTGTGTGTGTGTGTATGAGTATGTATATGTATATATACACAAACACACACATTTTCTTTACCCACTCATCAGATGATGGGCACTAAGGTTTATTTCATGTCTTTGCAATTGTGTATTGTGCTGCAATAAACATTTGCGTGCAGGAGTCTTTTTGATATAATGACTTATTTTCCTTTGGGCAAATACTCAGTAGTGGGATTGGTAGATTGAATGGTATGTCTACTTTTAGTTCTTTGAGGAATTGCCACACTGTTTTCCATAGAGATTATACTAATTTACATTCCCACCAACAGTACATCAACATTTTCTTTTCATCATATCTGTGCCATCATCTACTGTTTGTTAACTTTTTAATAACAGCCATTCTGATTGTGGTGCGGTAGTGTCTCATTGTGGTTTTACTTTGCATTTCCCTGATTAGTGTTTGTTGACCATTTGTTTATCTTCTTTTGAAAAAAAAAAAATCTGTTCATGCCTTTTGCCCGCTTTTTAATGGGTTCTTTTTTCTTGCTAATTTGAGTTCTTTATAGATTCTAGATATTGGTCCTTTGTTTGATGTAGTTTGTGAATATTGTCTCTCATTCTATAAGTTATCTATTTACTCTGTTGATATTTCCTTTGCTGTGCAGGACCCTTTTAGTTTAAGTCTCATTTATTTATTTTTACTGCTGCTGTATTTGCTTTTGGGTCTTAGTCATAAATTATATGCCTAGGCCAATGTAGAGAAGAGTTTTTCCTATGTTTTCTTCTAGAATTTTTATGGTTTCATGTCTTACATTTAAGTCTTTAATTCATCTTGAGTTAATTTTTATATATGGTCAGAGATAGGGACCACGTTTCATTCTTCTGCATGTGGCTACCCAATTTTCCCAGACCACTTATTGAATAGGGCATCCTTTCCCCAGTGTATATGTTGCCTGCTTTGTCAAAAATCAGTTGTAGCTATATGGTTTTATTTCTGGTTAGTTTGTTCTGTTCCATTAATCTTTGTGTCTACCTTTATAGCAGTACCATGTTGTTTTGGTTACTATAGGTTTGTTGTATAATTTGAAGTCAGGTAAATAAATGGTGAAGTCAAGTAAGTGATAGCTTCGGATTTGTTCTTTTTGCTTAGGATTGCTTTAGCTATTTGTGCTCTTTTGTGATTTCATACAAAATTTAGGATTGTTTTTATTAGTTCTGTGAAAAATAATGTTGGTAGTTTAATGGGAATTGCAATGAATCTCTAAATCCTTTTGGGAAGAATGGACATTTTAACAATATTGAATCTTCCAATCCATGAGCATGGAATGTTTTTCCATTTGTTTGTGTCATCTATGGTTTTCTTTCATCAGTGTTTTCATCAGTTTTCCTTGTAGAGATGTTTCATCTCCTTGGTTATATTCCTAAACATTTTATTTTATTTACAGCTATTATAAATTATATTGAAGTCTTCATTTGACTTGGATATTTGTGTATTGTGTGTATAGAGGTTTGTCTATTGTGTGTATAGAGGTTTCTACAGTAGTATCAGGTGATATTTTGTATTTCTGGGGTATCAATTATAATTTGCAATGTCCCCTTCTCCTAATTCAAACTGTTCATCAGACATTTGAGGCCTGCCCTGCAAATCAGACTATCCATAGTTTTCTACTGAGGATTTAATTTTACTTTAGAGTAAACAGGCTAATTTATAAAATTTTTCTGTTACCTTTTTTTGTTGATTTGGGCCAACTATTTGGCAAATATGATTTCAGCAAATTATTGTTAAATCACCTAAAGGTTCTCAATGCTCTTCTTCTCTGCCATTCTACATTATGCTGTGTCAGTGTTCAATCATTTGAATAGAAATTTTGACTCCTCTAATTACTTTATTCATTAATGTACTAATCACAGAAAACCTACTGTGTGATATGCCTTGTGATAGGTACTGGGAAAACAAAGGTGAGTAAGAAATAAACACTCCATTCAAGGACTCTATAGTGCAGTGAGGATGGCAAACTGATCTAATGATTTGAATATTATGTAATAAGGGCTGTGCTAGTGTTTTAGAGACCAAATATTAATACATATAATATGCTAGATATACTAATGCAAAACTGGATGACTCTAGAAAGACTTTACCAAGGCATTTGCTTCAAAAAAGGAGAAGCAGGAATATGCAAAGTAACACACTACTAAAGGATAGCCAAAGAGTCAGGATGTGAAAATTTCTTAAATCACTAACAGTTAGGGACAAAGTCTTAGGTGTAGTTCATCTGGAAATGGGTTGATGAAACAAACTGATAGTGAAGGGGGAATTCAAGAAATCAGGTTGCTGAAGTGTCATCTTTGAAGGCACTAAAAAATAATCAAGGAAAATGTAAGGAAATGGAGAGAAGAGTGAAAGCCAAATGCCAAAGACTTCAATGGAT